AGTATGGGCTTAATTTAAAAATAATGTATCAGTAGTGGTTCATTAATTGTAATAGATATCCTTACTGATAAAACGTGTTAATGATAAGGAAAATGATGCAGGGTATTATGGGAGCTCTGCAAACTATTTTCACAATTTTTCTACAAATCTGAAGCTTAAAAGTTTATTTTTAAAAACTCTTCTAGCCCTGGCTGGTGTAGCTTAGTGGCTTGAGTGCCAGCCAGCTTTTGAACCAAAGGGTCGCTGATTCCATTCCCAGTCAGGGCACATGCCTGGGTTGTGGGCCAGGTCCCCAGTAGGGGGCGCATGAGAGGCAACCACACATTGATGTTTCTTTCCCTCTCTTTCTCCCTCCTTTCCCTTCTCTCTAAAAATAAAGAAATAAAATCTTTCAGAAATAAAATAAAATAAAAACTCTTCTAATTGTGCACTTTGAATACGGGCAGTCTATGGTGCATGGCTGGTGTTCCCAGGGGGATTTGTTAATAGCGTGTCAGTTTCTGTGGCGGTTCTAGGGCCGCTCTGACTTTCTCTGACTTCTTGAATCCATAAATCAGTGTGCTGGGAAATTCCCCACTTCTTTACCTATAGCATTCTCTTACCCTTCAATGTCTGTAGAATCCATCTAGTTACAGCCTTTTTAAAATTTCCCCTTCTACTTACTCGTGTCCTACGTCTTTCTGTGTTGCGAAATGTTTCCAAGTTTCTACCTCTGACTTTTCCAAGAGTCAGCTTTTGGCTTTGGTATTCCCATTGTATCTTTCTCTTATTAATTTCTGCTCCTCACTTGCTCCTGTTTTCTTTGGATTTATTCTGCGGTTCTTTTTCTGAAGTTTTACGTCAGACACGGCTCGTGACTTGGCGGCATTTCTCATCATAGAGCTCACGCCCGAGGCCGTGCACGTCCCTTGTTTACCGTGAGTCCACATCAGTGAGTCTGCAGGGTGTAGTCCGTTTCCCGCTAGATCTGGTGCTCTGGTGGAGGGAAGCCCTTCAGACCGGTTTGCTTTTCAGATGGATCCTCGCCACGGTCCCCTCAGGCCACGGAAGACAGGTCACCCGACCCTGGCTGCCCTTGCGGAACAGCAGCCCCTTCCAAGCAGCCTCCCCCTCTGTTCTCCAGCCGGGGCTGCTCCAGCCCTTCCCTCGCCCCTCTCTTCACTGGCCTGGGTCTGCCTCTTCTCCTTTGAAGGTGGACATGCTCTCCCTTCGAAGCCTGACCTTGTCCTACTCGCTGCCTGCCAAACCTCGCTGCTTGCTTGTGATGCCCCTCCCCGAGAGGGAGAGGCTCTGCCATGCCCCCACCCCCCATCTGAGATAAACACTTGGTGCCCAGGAGGAGCTCAGCTGGGACCCCCACCTTCCTCACCACTGAGAAGAAGGGGGAGGGGCAAAAGGGCCGCCACCCGGTCAGTCTCCAGCACCCAGGGAGGACCCAGGCAGGAGCCCGAGTACCTCTCGGACATTGTTCTCCTTTAACCCCACCCCCTGGGCTGAGCACTCTCCCAGTGTGTCCGGGGCTCTCGGGGTACAAAGACAGAAACAGCCTGTTGCGAGAGTCGGACCCCCCTCCTCACATGAGCCACCTCGATGGTGTACAACAGACACCCAGCCGTGGGCCCAGGGAGCACGGAGCATGGGGGTGACCTAGGCCCCGGCCACCACCGGCTGGACGCCTGGAGCCCACCGTAGACCCTGCTCAGCGCAATGGTCTGCAGTCCCAGTCCTGGGGTCCTCATGGGTCCTCTCACCCAGAGGGACAGGCAGGAGCACCCATCTAAGGGGTATGCTTGGGCCGGGCACCCGAGCACCAGAACCAGGAGACTGCCCTGGGCCCAGACCTTGTGTGGCAGGGCCTGTGGCCTGCTGCCCGGTGGGCCCCGCCAGATCCAGTGGGTATGTAACAGTCTTTGTGGGAGTGGCCGCCTTTCAGAGCTTTCCCATAAGCAGGGTCTCCTCTGTGGGGGGGGGGTGCAGGAGCCAAGAAATGCTCGAGTGAGCGCTGGTGAGCCCAGGCGTGAGAGATGGGGTATGGGGGCTGGAGAGCTGCGTGTGGAAACTAGACAATCAAGCCAAGGCCCTGGGGGCACAGGCCTTCCCCCTCCCGGGTGTCTGGTCCTGCAGTGAGTGACCACGGAGGGCCCACCTGTGGACACCAAAAGTCCCTGCTACTGTGACCGGCCTCCTGGGGCATCTGCTTGAAAGCTTCTGGGCTCTGCCCCCGGCCCCGAGAAGCCTAGTGACCTAGGGCTGTTGCCCAGCCCTTCAGGCGAGTCAGAAGGGATTGCTGTCCATCCCGCCGGCCATCCGTCATTCACGGCTGGGCTGGACCCTGCGCACGAGCTCCCGGAAACCAGTGCACGCGGTCAGGCTGGGCCCCTCGGGTGCAATTAGCACGGAGAACACTTCGCCGTCTTCCTGAGGGGATCACCCCCAGCCCTGCATGGGAGAGCAGGCCGCTGTGGTTCCTGGGAGCCTCACCTCTTGGGCATGTGGGGAGGGGAGAGCCACCTGCCAGTCACAGGCGGAGGGCGCGGCGGGTCTGGAACAGCCAGATTTCTCCTGGCTTCTTGCCATTGAGAGCCCCATGTGTGGACGGTGTTTACGTTCCTGCCGTTGCTGAAGGGACCCAGAGCAGTACGTGGGAGGCCCAGCCTTCCCAGGAGGGGCTTGGCCCCAGAGCTTCTGCGTGGCTTACTGTGGCCTCCCTGGGGACCTTTGCAGCTCCCAGAGGGAGTGGGGAAAGCGGGTGGGGGTGGTCCTGTAGCACCAGCCCAGAGGCCACTGTGGGAACCGAGAGAGGGGCCAAGCGGAAGTAGGCATGTGCCTGGTGCACCCCACACGCTGCCACGCATGTAGTGCTGACCATTCTGAGAGCCCTGGGGCCCAGGGGTTGGCCCCAGCCAGCCCCGGGCAGGATGAAGCTGAGAGTCCCCCACTGGGCCGGGTAGGTGCCCAGGCCCAGTGGGAGGGGGGGTGGGTGAAGAATGGGGCAGCCAGGGTCCTGTCAGGCCTGGAGCCAGCACCGAGATGCGTGGGCCCTGTGTGGGTTTGGCCAGAAACTCGGAAATCACCTCGTGTGGAGTCAGCCCGTGTGTGCACCAGCACTGTGTGCACGGCTCCAGGTGTACACGGCCTCAAGAATCTGCAGTGTGCCCGTCTTGACGGAGCGGGGCACCGGCGGGGCATAGGGGTGGGCAGTGGTTAGCAGGCACCTGGAGAGGCCAGGATTCCAGCAGGCGCCCCTGAGCTGGGCCCCTGCCCCTCCTGCACCTGGCCTGGCTTTCTCACGCTGCACGCCCCGTGCTACCCACCTCCCCAGCTCATACCAGGGAGCACTGGCCACTCTGCTCCTTGACTTTAAGAGTCTAGAATATTCCACCCAGCGACTCCCTGGTGATCCAAGGCACTGCCCCTCCCCTAGTTAAAGTTCTCTGGGGCTCCACGGTCAGGCTGTCCCACATCCGAAGGCTTGAAGATACCTTTTAAGGTCAAAAAGAGTAACAGGGGTTGGAGCCCCTGGGCCTGCTTATGCGGATGAGAGGGGCAGGGGGCTCCCACAGGGTCCTGGAGGGCAGTGAGCTTGGGTGGCAGCAACATCCTCGAAGCTTTGCTCATCTCTACTTCCTGCCCTTTCATCACCCGGACAGGCAGGCAGGGCAGGGCCCGGGGTGGGGTGGGGGTGCTCTCTGCTTCAGGACAGCTGAGGCCACATCCTGCCTCCATCTAGCTCAGAACCCCGTCCAAAGCCCCTTCCCTTGGCACTGCTGCCCCAGCGCCCAGGATGGGGGCGCTGGCTTCTGAGCAGCAGGTGGGTGGAGCCAATGAGGTCCCTGTCTGTTTCTGGGGGCCAGCAAACCCTCAGATCAGCCTCAGGCCAGGCGTCCAGACAGCCTCCACCCTCGTGGTGACATCTGGGACACACGGCCCGGTGCCTGGGACCCATCACTGCCTCCCAGGGACGGCCAACCCCCAGGGAGGAAACTGCTCTCCAGCTCACAGCTGGGTCAGCCACGGCAGGAACACGTATGGGGACGCAGGCCCGGGCCACTGGACTCCACAGAGCCAGGCTGCGGCCAGAGACGGTGGCTGGTCTCAGAGACCTCCCAAGGACAAGGCCACGTCTTCGTGCTCCCTGTGACCCAAAGCACCTGGTGTCCAGAGCAGTGGGGTGGAGAGCCGACCTCCAGGCCCTAGCCCCCTGACCCAGCACAGGTGTGCACCCCTCATCGTCCCCCCATCAGCATGCGGCTGGGACTGCGGCCTCCACCCTGTTCTGCTGAGCAACCACACATGTGGCTGGAGCGCCCAGCTCGGGGTCTGTGCCCACTGGGCCCACAGGAGGGGCCAAGTCCACAGGGTCGGCTCCGGTCCGGGTGCACTGCTGCAGACGGGGCGTGGAGGACGGCGGGGGCCGCTCTAGGCGGGTGCCCTTGTAGATCGGCCTCTGAGGGGGGCTCTCCCCCTGTGCCAGGGCTGGCCTGGGGCCCCTGGGAGGGCCAGGCGCTGGGCACTGAGACCTCAGAAAACACACTGTGTTCTTTCTGCGTTTGGCGGCCCCACCCATCTCTGTCCCCTCTGAGAACCGGGAAACAGGACGTGATCTGTTGCGGTGAAGCTTTCTTGGCATTCGTCGGGTGCCCGGGAAGGGAACCTCCCGAAGTACCCCACTTTGGCCTTGGGCCCAGCAGGGCCTCCTGGAGGCCAGAGATGACGGTCCAGATTGGGACGACTGAACACAAACAGGACTGCCCCGAGCAGAGGGAAGGGACACAGTGTGCACAGGGAGCCCTTGTCCCAGCAGAGGTGTGGCGCCCTGGGGAAAGTCCCCTCTTGTCTCCCCTGGCCTTCCTGCCTGTCCATGTTGCCCAATCCTGCCATGGAGAAAAGGGGCAGCAATCTTACCAAATAATGTTTCAGCGGGCGTTGCTGGAAGTTACCTCACCCTTTCAGAATTTGCCAAAGGGCAAATCACTCCATCCGGGGGCGAGCCGGTGAGCAGGAGGACCATAAATAGGCCCCAGGCCAGCCTCCTCACTCACCTCCCCTTCCTCCACCACCTGCCAGTCTCCGAAGCTGCCCAGCTGCCCCAGCCCTGAAACCATGCCCCTAGGTCTCCTGTGGCTGGGCCTCACCCTGCTGGGCGCCCTGCAGACCCAGGCCCAGGGCCCCACCAAAAACCTGATCCCAGCCCCACCCCTGTCCAGGGTCCCGCTGCAGCCGAATTTCCAAGATGACCAGGTAAGGGGCCTGGCGGGACAGTTGAGGGGAGGCCCCCGGGAACAGTGGGAGCAGAGGGAGGAGGGGCAGAGTCTTAGGGAGCGTGGTAGGACAGGATGGGCCCGGGCCTCAGCTCAGCCTGCCCTTGGGTCCCCTGATAGAAGAAGCCGTGTCCCATGCGCCCGTCCCCACCCCGGCCCTGCCGACCTGCCCAGCTTTGCACTCTCTCCCGTGACCTCCACAGTCCACACAAAGTGGGAACATGTTCAGTCCCTCTGCACGATGAGGAAACTGAGGCACAGGGGGCCAGCTGGCCACTGCCAGGGGTCACCCCATCCCCGCCAGACTCCGCCGGGCTCCCTGCTGGCCTGCCAGCCTCCGGCGACTGCCGGCTGCATCAGCGCAGGCCCGGCCCAGGCCTGAGCGCCCAGTCAGGAGGCCTGCGGCCCTAGCAGAGGGCTCCTGGTCCTGGGCCGGGCTGCCCAGAGATGCACGCAGGGACAGAGCAGGGGAGGACCTCTGGGGCCCGCACTGCCCCTCACCAGCCCCCTGCAGTTCCAGGGAAAGTGGTACGTCGTGGGCCTGGCGGGGAACGCATTTTCAAAAGAAGAACAAGGCCGGTTTAAGATGTACACCACCACCTACGAGCTGAAAGAAGACCACAGCTACAACGTCACCTCCGTCCTGCTCAAGTGAGAGCCACCACCTCCTGGGGGAGCCTGGGGGACACGGGGGCCGCCTGGGGGGTAGGTTCTGATGTCATGGCCGGGGGATGACCGACGCTGACAGTCATTCATCCTGCTATTCGGAACTAGATGCATAGACTTGCCCCTTCCTTTCTTCATTCACTGCATCGGAATGCATCGGTCACTTCTGTGTAGACAGCAGCAGGGATGGGCAGAGAGCCCTCAGGAACGAGACAGGGGGAGCAGGGGTGTCCTGCAGTGGGAAGGGGGGTCACTGGGCCCAGCCTGGAACCCCACCCAGGACTTCACTGGGGGCTTCCAGGGAGGTGCCTCTGGGCCAGGCCTTGAAGAAGCCCACCTGCCTTGGAAGGAAGTGCGGGGGGCGGGGGGGTTGCTCAGGCAGCCGCAGGCCGTGGCGTGGCTGCCCCTGGCACAAGCTCGTGAGCAGCCTGGAGGTGGGGGTGGGGGTGGGGAGGTCACACTGCCAGGGCCTCAGACCCTGGCACCCCAAAAATCTGATGAGAAGCACAGGGTCCCTCCGGCTGCAGTGGGGAGAGGAATAGTGGGGTGCCAGGGCTCACCCAGCTCCTGTGGGTTTCTGGTTCTGGCACCTGAGGGGGAGGGGCTGGAGCCTTTGTGCAGTGGGGGCGGAACAGGGGTGGGTTTGCGAGCCAAGGACACAGTGAGAGGTCAGGGCTGGCCCAGGGGCCAGGGCAGTCCTCGGGACAGGGAGCAGACCAGGGCCTTGGCGGGTCAATCCCCAGAAGAGGGCATAGAAAGGGACACAGTGAGACAAGAGTAGGGGACCAAGGCCCAGGGTCGGGGGACAGTGCACAGGGAAGGCCACCAAGCGGAGACAGCCCGGAAGAGGGAAGGACGGTGGGAGTCAGGAGGCCCGGGGCAGCCCACACAGGACAGCCAGGGACCGGCTCCGATGGGACTGGGGGGCGGGGGGGCTGGGCTGGCCCTGCGCCCCTCCAGCTGCAGCCCTGGCCCTCAGTGCATCCAGCGCAGGGGGCCCACGCCTGCGTGTCTCCCCGACTCAACCACACATCTCTCCCCTCCAGGGGCCAGCGCTGTGACTACTTTACCAGACCTTTTGTCCCAAGTGCCCAGCCTGGACAGTACACGCTGGGCAACATTAAGAGTGAGTCCTGAGTGATGCGGGCCCTGGTGGTGGGGTCCCAGGCGCAGGGTCCCCCCAGAGGGGAAGCAGACCTCCCTGTGCCCCACACCGATGCTGTCCTGTGCGGGGCTGGGGAGAGACGAGCTGCTGTGTCCAACCAACCAGGGCTGACCCCTCGCTGTCCACCCCACAGCTTACCCGGAAATGCAGAGCTACACCGTGCGAGTGGCTGCCACCAACTACAACCAGTTCGCCATAGTGTTCTTCAAGAAGGTCTTCGATAACCAGGAGTACTTCAAGATCACCCTCTACGGTGGGTCTTCACCCACCCCCTCCCCCAGCAGGACCCAGCTCCTGCTCGCTGCCGGGGGAGGGGAGCGGCCTATCCCCGCTCAGCCCCCCAGGTCTCCCCCAGGGCTGCCGCCTCCCTGAGCCCCGGGGAGGCCAGGGGAGGACAGCTTTCTGAAGACTCTCCCAGCGGAAGCGGTCTGAGGCTCGTTCTCCCATTCGACGATATTAACGGTGTGTCCGCCGGCCGCTCGCTGGCCATCTTGACCACAGGGAGGACCAAGGAGCTACCCGCTGAACTGAAGGAGAACTTCATCCGCTTCACCAACTCCCTGGGCCTCACCAGCGACCACATCCTCTTCCCTGTCCCGATCGGTAATGGCCAGTTGGGCAGAGGACAAAGGGACCTGGGGACTGTCCAGGCCTGACGTTGTCACCCCAGGGAAAGGGGAGAGGAGGGACTCAGTCCCCAGCTCCCGTCACTGGGGCCCCTTGGGAGCCACTTTGGGGTCAGGAGGACCACGCCCCACCCCAAGGGTCTGTGGAGCCCCCAGGGATCAGGGGGCCAAGCGCTGTTCCCTGATAGGCAGCTTGGGCCTAACTCAGATGAGTGTTTCAGGCCCAAGGCCAAGTCTCCTCAGTCTCGTTGCCTGGGGCCCCCTCCCCCTGTACCCCAGATGCTATTATCCTGGGCCATTCCTGCCTCACACTCCCAGGCCCCCCTTCATCCTGGGCCGCCTCTCCCGACACCCCAGGTTCTGCTGCTCTGGGCTGCCTCCTCCCTCACCCGGCACTTGCTCACCACTGGCTTGGGAGGTGCCCTTGTCCGCAGGCAACCTGGCAGGCTGCTCAAAGAGCCACCAGCCTCTCCAAAGCGGAGGGGTTGCCAGGGTTCCTAAGGTTAAGGGGCAGGAGACCTGAGTGCCCAGTCAGGTGGCTGGGCCTCATCTGCCTCCTCTGGAGAACAGGTGGCCAGCCCCACCCCCGGCCCGCCCAGGTCTTCCCAGGCCTTTCTCCGGATTCCCTTCCCCCCTCACCTGCCCCTCTGCTGCCCCAGCCCTGAAGGGAACCCCTAAATCTTCTGCTGCTTGGCTGGGCGGGGGCCTGGGGCAGCCCAGGGGCAGTGCAGGGCTCACACACACACATGCTGCCCATTTGTGACGGACCGTCTCCCCCACAGACAAGTGCATCGACGACCAGTGAGCCGGCGGTGAGTACCCGGCTGGGGACGGGGCTGATGGGAGCCGAAGCGCAGAGGCCTGCGGCACCCCCACAGCTGCCGCTGCCGCCGATGTGCCTCCTGTCTCTCTCCTTCCCCATGGCCCTCGCATCAGCCTCTGCCCAAGATGCCGCCCAGCTGCCCCCACCAGCCCGGACGCCAGTGAGAGGGCCAGGAGACCCTTCTCACAGTCCAGCCCACCAAGCTGCCCCCTAAGCCAGCCTGCTGATGGAATCGCTCCCTGACTGCCAAATAAACCCGTGCTCCCAGTCCCCCAGTCTGTGCTCCTTGCCCCGGGGGCCATCTGGGAGGGGAAGGGGCAAAGGTGGGCTCTCAATACCGCTCCCAGACCTCCCTTGGGGTCCTCAGTGAGGACAGAGGCCACAGAACTGGAGTCTGTCCTCGATTGAACACTTCCTGGCCCCCAACCCTGGGTCTCCCGCCAGGCCAGTGGGAGCCCCCGTGTGTCCTGGCCTTTGAGGGGTACCCAGACCAATGAAGACACTGGCAGGCCCGCACCTCATGCCTACACTTGGCCACCTGCAATAGGTCCTAGAGTCAAGGCTCAGCCAGGGCCAGGGGGCTGGAGGGACAGGGGAGGCTCAGTTGCTGTCACCCCCAACTCACCAGGACCCGTATGGGTGCTGGAAGGTGGCCGCCAGCCCAGGAGGGGTGCACAGTGGGTAAGGCAGGGGAACACCCAGCTCGAGGCTGTGCCAGGCAGAGAGGGTCACCAGGGGTAGGCCCCTGCCCCTTTGCCAGCCTCCTATGATCCCAGTGCTCACCCTCCTGCCCCCCTCCATGGCTGGCGCTGGCCGTCCTGACCCCATTCAGAGCACTGTCCCTCACCCACACCTCTGTGATGACCTCTCAGACCATCAGGGACAGGCTGGGGGAGGCGAAGAGGGGCGCATGCTGCTGGGGATCCAGATTCCAGCAGGCTTGAGGGCGCCAGGCCCGCACCACCCCTTTGCCGGGTCTGTGTCTGGGGCCTGACAAGCTCCTGTCCACCCACGGGCTGCAGCGTCTGCGTCTGTATCACATACAGGAACCCCTCTCTGGCCTCTTCTCCCCTTGCAAGGTCAGAGGCCAGAGACCAGGGGACAAACATGCAGACTCAGGATGGGCAGCAGACCCTCAGGGAGACACACAGACTCCCAGAAACATGCCAAGGCTCACACAGACACACAGACACAGCGGGTGGACGCAAGCGTGCACGCAGGGAACCGGCACAGAGAGGCGTGATGCACACGTCCACCCGTATGAGCACCCAGCTGCCCCTAGGTGCCCCCCAGCACCCTCTCAGAGCCAGAGATCCATCCCCTTCAGGAACGGCCCAGGTGCCCTCTGCCACCTGCTCCATCTGTGGGCACAGGCATCTCTGAGGGGACTGTGAGGGCGCGGTGGGCCCATGTGGGGAGGAGTGGAGGCTTGGGTGGGGGGCGGCTGATTGGAGGACTGGAGGAAGGATGCCCACACCTTATAGTCAGGGGGTCAGCTGACCTGAGTGAGGGACCAGTCACAAAAACTCTTCAGGCACTGGTTCGGCTGAGGCCTCACCTGCACTCAATCTGCTTCAGAGAGGCGGCAGTAGCACTGCCCATATGCGAGTCAGCGGTGGCCCCGATTACAGGCTGTGGACCCCCCCTTCCTCAGGTGAAACAGTGGGACAGCTTCTGGGACAGAGAAGATCCCTCCCGGCTGTCACAGTTAAGAAGCATAATGGGGCCTCACTGCTCTCCTGGGGTTGGCCTTAACAACCAGCATGAGGCTGGGACCAGGCTGCCGCAGCCACGGGGCCTGCTGGTGGCAACAGCCACAGGAGCCCTCCTCTCCTGGGACAGGAGCCTCACTCTCAGCTGGAGCCCCGGAGCTCACACCCCTGGGCCCAGCTCAGGAGCGACACTTGCCGGCTGGGTGACTTCGGGCAGGCCTCCTTTCCCCGGCTAGTAAAAGGGGTGGGGGATGAGGGCAGCTGGGCCGACCTTATCCCGCAGCTTTCCTTGACCGGCAGCCATTCGCAGCCCTCTGCCGCACAGAACGTGACTCGCACGGAGGCTGTGAACGAAAATGGTCCGGAAGCCATACAGGGTCTTTAGAAACCTTGAGTCTCAGATTTTTTTTTAAAGATTTAATTTATTTATTTTCAGAGAGGGAAGGGAGGGAGAAAGAGAGAGAGAGAGAGAGAGAGAGAGAAACATCAATGTGCGGTTGCTGAGGGCCGTGGCCTGCAACCCAGGAATGTGCCCTGACTGGGAGTCGAACCTGCGATGCTTTGGTTCGCAGCCCGCGCTCAATCCACTGAGCTACGCCAGCCAGGGCTCCAGTCTCAGATTTCACTCACGCGGAGGCGCGGGCTGGCCCACCCGCAGGTCTCCAGCGGCAGGACTGGGCAAAACGGGGACAGATGGGGGTAGAGACTAGGGGGTGTCACAGGCTGCCCCTGCTCCTCTGCTCAGCTCGCTCAAGGGAGCCTCCGCCACCTAGGCTCCTCGGCGGGCAGCCAGGGGAGAGCACAGCCTCTCAAGAGAGAATTGAGCCTGACTGTGGGGGCGGGACTCGGCGCGTGCGGGCGGGGTCTGACGGCGAGCAGGGGCGGGGTTTCTGGTTGTGGGCGGGGCGAGGCTGGGGCGGAGCTCCGGCCGAGAGGCTTTGGGGGCGGGGCCCCGCTGTCCAGCCTAGGGTTGCGTTAATCCGCGCGGTCCCACCCTTCCGGCCCTGCGTTCTATCCACCGCCTCCACTGTACGCCCCGCACAGGCTAGTGGCGTGACGGTCGCCTCGTTTCCGCGCCTTGCGGCCCCTGCGGAGCCCGAGCCTGCAATGTCGGGCCCCAACGGGGACCTGGGCATGCCGGTGGAGGCGGACGCGGAAGGCGAGGATGACGGCTTCGGGGAAGCAGGTGACTCGGGGGCGGGGGGGGAGGGCAGAAGCGACCTTTGCTTTCTCAGGGGTACCTTCCTGGGAAGGGGGATCAGGGCCCGGACAAGGGTTTGGAAGGAAGGAGCCCTCCTACCCCTCGCCCCTGGGGTAGGCGAGGTTGCAGCTGCCGGTGCCGTCTCGGAATTTAGGACGAGCACCTGCGAGTGCGTCCCTGGAAACTGCAACATTTGAGAACTGTGGGCATCCGGCCACGGTTTACGGATGGGGAAACTGAGGCCGCTTCAGGGACACTCGCCCTTGGGATTTGCTCCAGCCACTTCGTCGGGCCCTTGTAAGGACGTAGGCTCCTGAGGGGGCGGGGCCGGTGGACCTACTTGGCTCTAGGGCTGCCCGGGTAAGAGTGCCCGCGCGCGCGCGCGCGCGCCCTCGCCCTTGCTGAGTCAGCATCTCAGCCACCCTTTCTGGTGGGGCCTGGAGCCCTGGCGAATGCGACAAGCTTATACAGCAGCCTGTTGCGCGCCCAGCACTGCGGTGGGTGGGAAGTGAGGTGTGGAGAGAGAACGATCGACTCCCTTCTCACCCTCTGGAGCCCGTTTCCCCGTCTGTAAAATGATTAATGCCCTGTTCACTGAGATGTGTCAGGATTAAATGGGAAGATGAATGGAAAATATTTAGTAGGTCCCAAGATGCAAGGGTTCAGTAAGTGGTTATCATTATTCCCTTTAGTGTAATAAATATTGCTGTATTGACTTAGAGAGCAGGACTTAGTAAATATGGGGTATAGAGCTTTGTGTTTCGTTTTGGTAACAGTTTTATTGAGCTATAATTCACATACTAGACAACTCATCCATTTAAACTGTACAGTTCAGCGCGTTTCGGCATATCCAGAGTGTGCACTAATCACCACAGTGGTTTTGGAACACTTAACATCCACGAAGGGCTGCGTTTAATAGAGGTAGAAGTCCTCCCGCCGGGGAAAGTGGTGGGCTGGTCGCTTTGCCCTGGACACTGCCGGCGAGCAGCGGCCAGACGGGTGCAAAGCGGCACCAGGAAGGGCCTCCCCGGAGTCACAGCGAGCGGCCCCTGGCAGATGCACAGGACTTAGCGCAGTGGGAGGAGGGAGGCGAAGGCTCAGGACTGGGAAGTGCCCTTGACACAGAAAACGCCTGGCCCCAGTGATGTGGAGACGCCGCTGCCCCGTCCTCCTCCTGGCCGTGTCTCGTGACACAGATTGTGAGGTGCTGACAACATGGACCACATACTTGCTGCAGCTGGGCCCTATCCGAGCTCTTCACATCTTTGACTCCTCACAGCGGCCCAGTTACTCCCTTTTCCAGAAAGGTGCAGTAGCTTCTTGGGATGGAACGGAGCAGGGGCTGAAGCTCCCGTGCCCTGCTTCCCAAGTCTGAATCTTGACGACTTTGCCACCAACCAGCTGGCGGGCCCTGGACGAGTCCCTTCCTTCCTGGGCCTCAGTTTCCCCATCTGTGCCACAAAATGATAGATTGTAAAACCCAGCAGACACTCTCCAGGACCCTGGCCTCTGCAAGGTGTGATGCGTGCTCTCCCTCCAGAATGCAGACACATTTGCATGCACATCCCAGACACCCTCCAGCTTTAGCCTATTCCAAACACTGCCGGCTCCTTCCCCTTCGTCCCAAGCTGGCAACACAGTGTGTCTGAGTCACGGACTGGCTCAGAACTCCCGCCTGCAGCGGGCATGGGCTCAGCCCTTGGGTCCTAAGGGACGCTGTGTTGCTGAGAGTGGCTGTGGAGGAGGGAGTGATGGTTTCTGGTGGAGACCGGGGAAGGCTTCTCAAAAGAGGGGTTTTGAATTGGTCTTCAAACAGCTGTTGCGGTTGAGGCGTTTTGGGTGGCAGGGATAGTTGAGCAAAGGCAAAAAGGCTGACAAGTTAGAGGCTTCATTCACTCACCTATTCATTCATTCATTCATTCATTCATTCACTCACTCACTCAACAAATGCTTATTGTGTGACAGTGAGGGCCTCGGGGAAACAGCAGTGAGCACAAGGCCACGCCTCCGCTCACGGAGCTCTGTAGCCTGGTAGGGAGGACAGACCAGCACGCAGGTAACCGCATCAGTCGGTCTGGAGGTGCGGCCGTGGAGGTGTGAGGAGGGGGATCTGGCACAGGGGCCCGATCCAGCCTGGGGTGTTGGGAGGGCTCCCTGCGTGCATCCACGCTGAGACTTGAGGAACAGGACTCATCCAGGAGAGGAGGGAGGAAAGACAGGAGGAGGACACGGCACATTGCAGGCACAGTCAACGGCACGTTCAAGGGGGCCTGAGGTGGGCAGAGGCAGATGCGAGAGAGGAAAGGGAAAGGCATGGGAGGTGGGGCCGGAGAGGAGAGTGGGGTCTTGGAGTCTTCTGGGTGCTTTGATCCTGAGGGCAAAGGCCATGGGGGAGCTGGGAAGATGGGTGGGCCTGGACAGAGGCCTGAGCGGCCTCACTTAGGAATGTGGGCTGTGGCCTGTGGGCAGACGAAGGACGTGGAAAGCGGATTGGCAGGACTTCCCATGCAGGACCCGGGCTCACCGCCCGCTGACCACCCTAACCCTGGAAAACAGGACGGGGAGCTAAGGTATTATTTCTCTAAATCCTGCCTTCTTTCTGTATCCACCCACTTTCCAGGTGGAGACACTGAGGCCCAGGAAGGAGTAGAAGGCCAGGGGATGATGGTTGGGGATGAGGGGTGTCTGTAAGCCCTGGGGAGACCCCGGATCTTGTCTGTCTTCCCCCTTCCTTCCAGAATACGCTGCCATCAACTCCATGCTGGACCAGATCAACTCCTGTCTGGACCACCTGGAAGAGAAGAACGACCACCTCCACGCCCGCCTCCAGGAGCTGCTGGAGTCCAACCGGCAGACGCGCCTGGAGTTCCAGCAGCAGCTGGGGGAGGCCCCCAGCGATGCCAGCCCTTAGGCTCCAGGAGCCCCGAGCCAAGCCCCGGCCCTGCGTCCCTGGGCTGAGCTCTAGCCTGGGCGCTCACCGCCTGACTTAGACACCTTCTCCAGGGCTGGCCTACAGGTCCCCTTGTGGCCCTGACTGCCTGAGCCACTCTTCAGGGACTCCCCTTGGCGTGTCTGCGCCGACCCCCACCGCCCAGCCTTCCCTCCTGGGGCCAGGCGTGGGCCCGCCACCCCTTGCCTGCCTGCCCAACTCCTGGACACTCTCCACTCTGCCCAGGCCTTGAGTGTCCGTATTAAACTGGTCTCCGACACTGCTGCGCCTTTGTGTCCTGGGGCGGGAACCCCAGTGGCTGGCAGAGGTGCCCGGGGCGGTCAGGGTGTTCCCGGTGCTGCTCACGCACCGGCTGCTCACGGGCGTGGAGGTGGGGATGGGGTTCTTGCCTTCTTTATTTCTGGACACAGAGGGTGCAGGTAAGGTCGGGGCTTCCTCCCCACCTGGTACACTCCTGGCCAGCAGCGGCTCCCCCAGCCAGGCTGAGACAACATCAGGCATGCTGTGCGACCCTGTGTGCTGCGCTTAGCTTCTCTGGGGGCCAGGGCCTTTCCCTAAGACACCAAGACATGCTGTGCAGCCTCGGGCACCACCCTCCTGCTCTTGGCCTCAGTCCCCCTTGGTTGGTCTGACTATGGATCTGTAGGGGTCCTTCCCAAATGGGGAAACAGCGGAACTAAACATTCAACTCGGCTGAGGCCCCGCCCACTGATGCTTCGTCCTGGGTCACCTGACCGGAAGGGCGGAGTCCCCGCTGGAGCCCCGTAAACTCAGGAGCAGAGGAGCAGCCAGGCAAGAGGTGCAGCCAGGCAAGAGGTGCAGCCCTTCTTGCACGTGACCTTCCACAGGATCCAGCTGGAGAGGTTAGCACGGGGGTCCAGAGCTCAGGCCGGGATCAAATCCTGACCTGGCTAGGCCTCAGTTTCTTCATCTGGAATCGGGGGGTACCAAGACCTCCCTCCTAGAGTCGCTGTGAAGATTAAATGAGATCTTATTTGAAGGTACTTTCCTAACCCTGATACATTATTAAGAGGGAAGCTGAGGCTCGGAGGGGCGAAGTGCCGTGCGATCCCAGAGTCCCTGGTTGGGGAACCGGTCCGGCTGTCTGTCCGGTTTGGCCCCACACGGTGCCGGAGAGGCTGGGCGCGGGCTAAGGCTGGCTGGGCTGCTCCCCTCCCCCTGTCCGCCTAGACAGAAGTGCTGGTGGGGACTAGGCAGCCAAACTACCTTCTTTTATTGGGTTCTGAGTAAAAATGCCGGGTCATGGTTTCCACGCAGGCTCTAAACAGCGTCCATCTGGACCCAGACCAGGTGGGCGTGGGGAGCTTCTCCTATCAGGTTTTGAGCCGGGCTGAGCGCCGAAACGGTGGGGGCTGGGGAGGCTGGGCCTTCACCTTGCTGGGGCCCTTGGCTGCGTCCTGGAGGCCGGGCTGGGGGTGTGAGCGGCCGCTGGAGGTGAACAGAGCCGTCAGGGCATTCCGGGCAGTGATGGCGCACCGGCGGCTCACGGGCCTGGTGGCGGGGCTGGGGTTCTTGGTCTTCTTGTATTTCTGGACACAGAGGGCGCAGGTGAGGCAGGGCTCCCTCCCTGATGCACCCTGGCTGGCAGCTGTTCCCCCAACCCGGCTGAGACAGCACTGGACTCCGCCTCCCGGGGCCAGAACTCTGCAGCATGGCCTGGCCCCTCAGGACTGCACCCCCCTACCCCCCAGAAAGAACAGAAAGAGCCCAGTCCCACCCTGATTTTATCATCCCCCTTTGTGGGCAGGGCCTCTCTGCTGGGGCGTGTGCCTGAGGACTGATGTCCAGCACGGGAGGGAGGTGGCCACTGGCTGTCACCCCCCGTTATTTTGGATGGGGCAGAGTCCCGGGCAGGAGGCCCGGCTCACCTGCAGGTTCTCGAAGTGGGCCAAGGACTTGCAGTGGGAGATCTTCGCCTCCGAGCTGCTGTGGTAGAACTTGTGGCAGACGCGGCAGACGTAGCCCACGACGGGCACCATGAAGTCCACGCCTGTGGGACAGCAGGGTCTGCACGCTCGCATTCCCCCAGGCCCGCCGGGCGCGCCACCCCCTTTTGTCCCCCCACCTCGAGGTGTCGTCTCAGCCCCGTCAGCATGGCTATCGTCTGCAAATCGACACACAGCAAGGGCTGGGGAGGACGCAGGGAAAGGGGACCCTCTTGCCCTGTGGGTGGCAACGCAGACTGGGCAGCCACTGGGGAAGGCAGTGTGGAGGCAGCCCCAACAGTGAATGGGTCTGCCTGTGCTGAGAGTGGGTAGGCTGTCTGGCCGGGACCTGGGGGGTCACCTGAGTCTGGGACCAGAGCTGGGGTCTTACCATACGCAGTGTTGGGGCTGTAGGTCTCCGAGTCTTTCCACTCCTCTGTGGATACACCTTTGGGCCTCACCTGGAGACATGCAAGCGGGGCCTCAGATCTGGCTTCCCCCAGAACTTCCCGCCCCTGAATGTGGGTGGGGGGGGGGCGCTGGAACGCACCCGCGCTCTTGAACACAGACCCGACTTTGGGGAGGTTGTGGGTGGCATTCGCCGAGCCTTTGCACATGCCGTACCTGCCTCCCAGAGCACCCTTCCCAATCTATACGTTGTAGGCTCAGCTCACTCAGTCCCTTCTTCCAGGAAGCCCTCCTGCCCACCTCAGTGGCCGTAATCCATGCTGGGTATGCCCAACACATCACACACGTCACCCCCTTGAATCCTCACAGCCGTCTGTGGTTCACGGGTTTTCCGTAAGCGGAAAGTGAGGCCCAGGCGCATTAACTCACCAGTCCCGTGCCGTACAGCCAGCTCAGGAAGGAGCAAGGTAGCAAACCCCAGGGGGGGCTCCAGGGCCCGCTTTCACTCTTAACCGTGGGGCCCCTGCCAGCTCCCTGAGTTCCTACCTGACGCCACAGTGACCTGGTGTCAGGGGATGGTGTCAGGTGATCTAGCACCCCTTGTCTCCCCTGCTGGACATAAGCCCCTTCCGGATGAGGCCATCCGGCTCCAGCCACGCCAGCATCGCCATGCCTGGCAGTGCCTTCCCCCACACACCAGGCAAATAAAGGTGGCTCCTGGGAGTGACAGCCATTCCCGTTTGCCACCCTGGCTGTGACCCTTCCTCACAGCCTGAGCTGGGCCCATGGCTTCTGAGCAGAGGCGGCTGGTTCGGCGATGGCAGGGGCTCACCTGGGACACCGAGACTGACCCTGAGTAGCAAAGCCAGCTGCACCCTAACCTGCTCAGGGCTGGAAGCCACCCTGGCAACCCCCCACCCACAGTCCCTCTGCTGCCCCGTCTTAATGGGTGAGGGCTACGAGGGCAGGGGCCAGGCCTCGGGCCCCACGCATCCCTGGTGTCCATCCAGCACCAGGGCCTGGCCCACGACGGGGGCTCTGGAAACATTCGTTAAACTGAAAAGAATCCACGTTTCTCCAGCCCCTTGCTCACGGGAGGCAAAGCAGCAGGGGCGTTCCAAACACAGCCCGGCATCCGAGCCTGTGAGATTCCGCCAGGAAAGTGCTTGGTACGCGCCTGGTATACAGTAGGTGCTCGGAAACCGTTGACTGCTCTAGCTAGCTATCACCCTCAGCAGCACCTCGCGCTGACGTTTCCTGGGCTGGGTGCCCCACGTGGTTCCCCCACCCGGGCCTTCACCGATGCTGTTCCCTGGGCCTAGGATGCCCTTTCCCTTCTTTGACGCAGGTCAGTTTCAGCCATGCTTCAAGGCCCTCGCTTATTTCCTGCTGCCACCCTGTAGTCATGGTGATACGTAGTTACATAGTCACGGAGAATATAGTTATGTTGTTACCAAGTCGGAGCGAGTGCCTCCTGGCCCCTGGGAGGTGGGGCGAGGTCCCTCCTGGGCTTGGGGCCCTGCCTCCCAACCCCCGCCTCCCCCCAAGCACCTGCTGGCAGAGCTCCTCCTCGACCTCGATCTCTTCTTCTTCTTCTTCTTCATTATCATCATCTTCCTCGTCTTCGTCGTCCTCAAAGCAGCCCACGGCATCCACTGTGATGAAGTGATCCTCATCCTGACCGGTCACCTCCTTCTCGAACATCTTCAGCTGCCCAGGGGAGCAGGCCAGGGCTCGGGTCAGCTCTGGGCACCCGAGGTGCTGCCCGTCATCCGCCCCACGGCCCCAGGAGTCCCGGTTCCTGCTCTGCATTAGGGCCGGGACGCATCTCAACCTGCCGTGTGGCCTTGGCCACAACTCAGTGCCGCTGGGCCCAGGTCCTCCGAGGGAGCTGCGGTTACCTCCTTGGCTTTGTCCTTGTGTCCCTGGGACTTCACGTGCTCCACGAACTTGCGGGGTGTCTTGAAGTAGCGGCTGCAAACGGTGCAGAAAGGTCGCAGGGACTGTTTGGCGATCTGGGGAAAGGAGGGCAGGCCAAGTGGGCGGCGGGCAGTGTCCCGGGTGCAGCCAGGCGGGACCCAGGGAGGCCTCGCCTGCCCCCTGCAGGCCACATCTGTAATCAGCAGGCTGCTCTCCGCTCCTGCACCAGAACACGGGCAAACACGTCCCCTCCCTGTGCCGCTGGCTCCGACATGGGACGGCAGATGGCAACAGAGGGAAGACTGGGAGAGGACAACGGCCAAGGGGCGCCCCGAGAGCCCCGGTGGCCGAATGGCAGGGTAGATGGCGCCTGGCCCACACTGGAGAGCTGGGGAGGCGGAAGCCCAAAGAGGAAGCGGGGCTGACGCACGGAGAAGCTGCACGCGCAGACGCCAGGGCTAGCGCTGACTTTGCGTTCCCACCCTGGGCTCGCCCTCCCCAGCCCTCGGCTCGGAGACAGCCCCCGTGGGGGCCCTCAAGGCACGCGGGCCTTGTACCTTGTGGTCCTGTGTCCTGCGATGCTGGATCAGGTCCCCCATGTAGTAGACCTGGCAGGTGTTGCACCAGCGCCTCAGGGGAGGGTCCCTGAGTGACGACAGACGACACAAGCGTCGCACCATGTGACACTATGTTCTCGGAAAGACAGCGACTCCCCCAGATGCTCCAACAATGGAGTGCTATCCCAACAGGATCTTTTTAGGAAACTTAATAAAATGGGTCTGAGCTTCATCTGGAAGAATACTTACATAAGAATAACCAAGCAGCCCTGGCTCGTGTGGCTCAGAGGATTGAGCGCGGACTGCGAACCAAAGGGTCGCTGGTTCGATTCCCCATCAGGGCACGTGCCTGGGTTGCAGGCCAGGTCCCCAGCAGGGGGCGCACAAGAGGCAACCACACACTGATGTTTCTCTCCCTTTCTTTCTCCCTCCCTTCCTCTCTGTCTAAAAATAAATAAAAATAAAATCTTTAAAGAAAATTAAAAAAAAAATAACCAAGGAGGCTTGGGGGAGAAATGAGACTTAGAAGCATTTAGGATGCCAGAGGGTCACCAGGACAGTGACACGACCGAGACCATCTGGCCTTGAAAACAACTTTACCCTCCAGTTTAAATGCCCCGTGCTTCCCAGAGCTGTTCTGGCCCCTCGCCCCATTCCCGGACCCGTCCCCATCCAAGGAGGCTGGGCCCCGTCTGCGGCTCCAAAGTGCCACGGCCACGGCATTGTTCACAGCGACTTGTAAGGGCCAAATCCCTGCTCCACCCGCCCTGGGCTGTGGGGAGCTCCGGGAGGGGGGGCCAGGACTCCACCCCAGAATCCCCGGGGCCTGGCCCCATCCTGAGTGTCGGATGAGGGAAGGGGGGGCAGGCAGCTGATCTGAAGCACCGCCAGGTCTGCCTGGCCTCGGGGGGCCGGGTCGGGACTCGGGGGGACTGTCCACAGGAGACAACGCCAGGGATCCCGTCCCCCTGAAGCTTGTTACGAGCCTGGGCTACATCCGCCCAGTGTCCTTGGGTCACGAGGTCAGTTTTGACAGCATCACGTTCATTCTGCAAATGCAGCCTGGAACCCTGTTCCAACGGGGCGCTGCGTCGTGTGCGTGTTCTGCTTATCACGCATGCCCACCGCTGTCCCACGCATCGGTTGTTCCGCCACGTGGACGAGAGCCTCAACCGATCTAACTAATCCACTAGTTTCGGATGTTTTAGATCATTTCCAATTAAATTGTTTCGGCATTACATTAACTTTGCAAGAAACATCCTTGTGAGTCACCTTTCGCCTGTGCTGATGATTAGTTCACCCAAGTGTGACTGGTAGGCCGGGGACAGGGGGAGGTTTTAAGCTCGAGAACGTACTGCAAAGCCACGTGGGGAAGCGCTTCTCAAAGTGAGACCCGAGAACGGAGTCACAGCTGCCTTCGGAGAGCGTGCTCCCCATCGCTCAGGGCTCTTGTGCCCTCCCCCGCAGAGGGGACTTCAAGCTGCCACCCTCTGTGACCGCTCAGGGCCGAGTCCCTGACCCCTGCCTCGGGGCCCGCCCAGCCCGTGAAAGGGTGTCCTTTGGCCTCCACAGGGTTTGTTCTGTTTCTGTTCCGAACTAGCTATTTTGGAGTTGGGAGGTTTCGCATACAAATCTGGGTTTCTGGATTCTCCTGAAAAACCACACCTGAGGCTGAGGGGGAGCTGTCCCGTGAGGCAGAGGCCAGGTCCCCCGGGGTGGCCTGAGCCAACGCCGACCTGCTTCCCTCAGGGATGACGCCTCCTGGCCCCTGCAGGCCTCTGCGGCTGCCCGCAGGGTCACAGAAGGTCCCCCCGCTTCTACCTTCCTGCCCCCAGAGCTGGTCTCCGACTCCAGGAGGGCGGACATTTCTGCCTGACCAAGCGCCCATGAGCACAAAGGGGACACCCAGGGGAGCCTAACCTCAAGCCCCAGGATGACCTGGACCTCCAAATCATGCCCGTGGGAGGGTCTGCACAAATGCCAGGGGAGCGGCCCCCGTGCCACCACCCACTGCTCCTGCCTGGGTGGAGCCTTACGAAGCTGCCTGGTTCTCAGATTCCTGCATCACACCCCGTGGCAGGCCGTTTTACAGATGAGGAAAACTGAGGCCCGAGGTCACACAGCTACGGGTGCGCAGAGGCCTCTGGGGAGGGCGATGCCTGGCACGGAGGCAGACCTTGCAGATGGGTATGCGGGCCCCTCCCAGCCTCACCCAGCCTGCCAGGCTGCCCCCGCTGCCACCCCCCCCCCACCCCCCCCCCGCACCGGGCCTCCGAGAGCCCGCACTCACTCGTCCTCTCTGTCCAGGACATCCCGGGGCACGGGCAGCAGGGACAGGAGGCAGGCCTGGCTCGTGTGCTGCATCTCCGCGAGCCGCTGCTGGTGCTGGGCGCCCGCCATGTGGTCCTGGAACTCCTGCGACGGGAGGGGGTCAAGAGAGGAGGTCAGGGGTGGGCGCCAGGACTCGGCCCCGGCATGCGGTCCGCGCTGGGGCCCCGGGGGGGGGGGGGCCTCCCGCCTCGTACCAACAGCGCCAGGAATAGTAATAACACGAGTATAACGCTGTTACTGATGCCAGGCTCACTGGAGGCTGGGCCTGCAGCTCGTGACCTCAGTGTCAAGTTGCTGAATCCTCAAAACCACCTGATGTGCTGGGTTCTAAAGGTTTCTCCATGTGACCCATGAGGAAACCGAGGCACAGAGGGTGAATGCACCTTCTGAGGTCTACACGGCTGGTCAGGGCCGGTTCAAAGTGTCTCTGCCTGACTGGAAAGCTCTGCCCTCGGGGCGGGTCAGAGAACGTGTCCTGAGCAGATGCACGGCCGCCAGCAGGGGCGGGGCTCACGGGGCCCCACGGGGCCACGCAGGCCACCCTGGACCTGGGTACCCCCCACACCCTCCCCATGCAGCCTGCCCACCGCCCAGGGCCCCGAGGGCAGCACCTGCTGGCCGCAGCAGCTGGCCCTGCAGATGTAGCAGAAGAACTGGGGGGCCTGCTCGGAGGGCGTGCTGGCGGCGGCAGCGGGGGTGGCGGAGGTCGAGTCGCTGGAGCGTGGCCCGGGTGCGACGGACACAGTGCTAAAGGCCCGGCTGTCACTGCTCTGCAGGATGGTGACCTTCAGGGAGCCCCCGGCCCCCCACACCTGCACCATGGGCAGAGGCAGAGCTACCACCAGCTGGGTGCTTGTGGCGAGCCAGCCCCAGTACCAGATACCTAGGAGCATCGTCTCCTCGGGCCCAGCAGCCCACTTTACAGATGGGGAAACTGAGGCTCCGAGCTCTTAGACGATTGCCCAAGCTCACGCAGGTAGAAGGCACCACAGTCAGGATTCAAACCCAGGCCCACCTAAATCTAAAGCCCACCCACCCACCCACCCACGACAGATGGAGAAACTGAGACACAAAGAAGGGAGTGGGCATGGCCACAATCCACTGTGCAGCAGAGCTGGGACCCAACCCCCCCCCAGCACAGGCTGCCACTCCTCTCTCCAAAGAGCAACGTCACCCACGCGAGGGCACTGGGGGCTCTATTTGGGAGGAGCAGGCTGGAAGGGACTCTCGTCACCTAAGTACCTCCAGATCGTCAGAGCAAAGGCACGTGAGGCAACACGGCAGCATGAGAGTCTGGGGGACCACCGTCAGCCCCACTCTGTGCTGCCCACAGCCTGGGGGCGGGGGGAGGAAACACGAGGGGCCCTCCGCGGGGCTGGGACAGAAAGGGGCCCTCCGACCGCTGGGCGCTGGGGTCCTCACGCTGCCACACGAGCGTCTCTACCTACCCTGAGCATCTCTCTCGCTCTTTTCTCACACTCCCCCACATCCAGGCCGCCGGTCAGCTCCTCCTGGCTCTCCTCCGTGCTGACCTGGGCGCCCGCTGGCTCTGGGGAGGCCCCCTCCAGGCCTGGAATGACAGAGATGCTGTTTCCCAGGGCCCACCTCCCGCCTGACCCAGAGGGACCTGGGCCAAAGGGCCACCCGCTGTGCTCACAGCCAAGGCCTTGAGGCCGCTGGTGTGACATTCCCAAGCCCGGTTCTAGGCCCACCCCTGGGTCCCAGGCAGCGCTCAGTCAGGCTGGACAGTGCCGGGGAGGCAAGAGGGGGTTGGGCAGAGCTGTCCCATCACCGGCCAGCTGGCAACCGGCGCTCGCTTACCTGCTCCAGCTTCTATCGTACTGGGCGGTATCTCTAGCACGGGAGAATGAACCAGAACGGGTGCTCGCTCCGATGCCGGCCCCTGTGGCTGGGTCTGGGCCTGCCCCTGGGCCTGGTCCGAGGGCGGCACTGGCAACTGCACTGGAGGTTGCTCCGGCGGCTCCTCCAGGGTCTGGGCCTGTGCCTGTGTTCCTGCCTGGGCCTGGGGATACGTCTGCGTCTGTGCTTGCTTCTGCAGCTGTGGCTGCGCCTGCCGAGGGGGCTGTAATTGTGCCTGCGGCTGCGCCTGTGGCTTCACCTGCGGCTGCACCTGCTTCCGAGGCTCAGCCTCCTCCTGCAGCTTGGGCGGCACCCGCTGCGCCACTAGGTGCTCTGGAGAGGTCTGTGTCTGCGCCTGCTTCTGCAGCTTTGGCTGCACCTGGGCGTCCACGGGCGGCACCTGTGGCTGAGTCTGTGGCTGCACCGGGGCCTGCACCTGCAGAACCCGTGGCTGGAACCGCGGCAGCACTCGCGCCTCCAGGGGCTCAGGCAGCAGCTCCGGCGTCTGCGTCTGCTTTGGTGCAGTCATCCGGGCCTGTGGCTGGACCTTCACCTGCAGCTGCCCTGAGGGTCCCTTCTCGGAGGGCTCCTCTGAGCTAGGAAGGACCAAAAGGAGATCAAACTCACGTCTTCCGGATGGCTCTAAGGGGGTCCCGAGAAAGGCCAAGACCCAGGTTCCGATCCTCACTCTACCAAGCTCCAGCTGGGCATTTGGGCAAGGCCCCCTTGGCTCTCAGGGCCCCAGTTTCCCCTAAATAAATTGGCAGGATCCCTCACTCTCCGCCCTCCCCCCCCACAACTTGCTACTATAAATCCAAGGATACCCACTCCCTGCCCACCCTGAGGGCCCAGGTGCACATCCGCACACGGTCACCCCTCCAACCTGGCCACCTCACCTGCCCCCAGGTGGCTCAGTCACAGCGAAGACACCCGAGTCTGTTTGGCCTGGGGCCCCCCCAGGTGAGGTGCAGAGGTAGGTCTGACCTCCCTCCAAGCCAGAGGCCGAGGCCCTTTCCTGGCTCCAGCTCCCCTCAATGGTCCCGGCCCCACCTACACCCACCCCCCACCTTCGCAGAAGTGAGAATAGAGCAGGGGTCCAGGGTCAATTACCTCTTTGACCTTTTAGCTGGAGGCTCAGCCACCTCACAGGACTCTGGCTCAGGTGCTGAAGTGCGTCTCTCCTTGGCAAAGTCATCTGGGCAGGGAGGAGAGGCTGGGTCCAGGACGAGGGGCAGACGAGGGACTGCCAGGGGCAGGTTAGGCACGAACGGTCTCGGGGAGATGGGGCCTGGGCTCACCCCGCACCAGGACCCCCGCCTGCCAGACCCGCCTCCATCACCACCCCCCACCCACCTGCCCACCCCACGTCCCCCCGGAAGGGCCGGCAGCCCCCCTCACCTGGGGTGTCCGCGCGGGGCTCCGAGGCTTCCTCAGACCCCTCCGCGGGGTCTGCCTTGTCGTCCACGGGGGTTGTCTGAGAAGAAGAATCCTGCTGCCTTTCAGAAACCGTCCCCACCCTCCACCACGCCCCCTTGTGAGTACGCTCCCGCCTGAGAGCGGCTGCCACAGCCCCCGGGACATGGACACGGACACGAAGGGGCCTGGGAACCTCGGCTGGGCCTGGGCCCAGAGATGTTCTTAAACGCCCCGGGCATCGTGTCCAGGAGTTCCATCCGGTTGCCTGACAGTTAAGTAACCCAGCTCTGGGGGACACAAGCCCCCTCCTGGCCACCGAGCTGTCTCCGGACACCCCCTCTCCACGAAGCAGCCAGAGGGACCCTTCTCAAATGCAAACCCGGCCACATCTCTCGTCTGGACCAGGCGGAAACACTCCTGTGACTTCTCCCAGGCCCGGAGTGCCCCTCGTTCACCCGTTCACCCGGAGCCCGACACCACCTACCCTCCCTCCTACACCACATGACCTCTGCCCCACACCCGCCCTCCGGCCCCGGCTCTCCCCCCTCCCCCTCTCCCCTCTGCATCCATGCTGGTCTTCTCTCTGGCTCCCCAAAGCCCCAGCCAGGCCCACACCCCAGAGCCCCAAAGGTACTTCTTGCAGGAAGCCCTCCTGATGCCACCGTGGGCCCAGACCCCTAGCACAGGTCCCCAGAGGGCCTTGGGCTTCCCCACTGGGGTGCTTAGTGAATTGGTAGGAACATTATTTGCATTAACGTCTTACCCTCCTCCCCAGACCAAGATCTCCAGGAGGGCCAGGCCACTGAGTGCCCTGCAGGGACTTACAGATGTCTGCTAATTAAATGCGTGGCTCCAATGTTTGCAGCCCCACTCCCCAGGAAGCCCAGGAGTAGCCCCCTCCCCGCTGCTAGTAAGCCCCAGGAACCGGTAAAGAGCTGGACCATGCACCGCACGAGGACTCCTTGGGCTTCGGGAACCACCCAGCTCTCACCCCGCACGGCGCGGGCCCTGGCCTTCCAGTCAGGAGGCTCAGCTCTGGGTCCATCCGGACAGCTGTGCAGCCCCGAGCAACCTCCACCCGCTCTGCGCCTCAGTTTCCCCATGTGTAAAATGAGGGGGGTGGCCGGCTGGTGTGGCTCAGTGGATTGAGCGCCAGCCTGCAAACTAAAAGGTCACCGGTTCGATTCCCAGTCAGGGCACATGCCGAGGCTGGGGGCCAGGTCCCCAGCTGGGGACGTGCGAGAAGCAACCGAGAATCGCTCTATCTCTCAAACATCGATGCTTCTCTCCCTCTTTCTCCCTCCCTTCCCCTCTCTCTGAAAATAAACTCTTTATATAAAATGGGGGGTGGTTAGTCCTAGACGAGACCATGCGAGGAGAGGCCCACTGGAAGGTCAGAGGCCACGACCCCTCTCTGGGGGGAGATGCCTCACCCCCTGGTGGGGGCTGCCCCAGAGCAGGCAGGAAGCGGGGCACTGCCCCTGCGCCAGGACGCTCCGAGGGGCGTGGCGTGTGCGGGGAGCTGCCGGGATATCCAGGGACGGGACGGTCTCAGGGAGGACGCTGTTCGCTTTGAAGGCTCTTCAGTCTCTGTGCTTGTGTGTGTGTGTCGGGGGGGGGGCCCTTCCCCCTGGTGCTTTCACCAGCCACCCGACCCTGAGGGGCCGGGGCCGGGGGTGCTCGGAATGGCAGACAGCCACACTGCCGAGTTCGGGACCTGTCGCTGTTTCACCCCAGGGACCTTCCTTTTACGCTGGTTTCAAAGTTTCAGCTAGTGATGTGTTTCCTTTCTATATACCTGAGAAGAGGCGGATGCACTGAAAGCCAGCCCCGACGGGAGCCATCAGCCACGCGTGGGTGGCTTTTGAGCACTTGAACTGTGGCGAGCCGAGATTTCAATGTAAAATACACATCAGATTTTAAAGGCTTAACACATGCACAGAAAAAGGAATGTAAAATGTCCCGTTCATTTTTTATATTGATTAAATACGGGAGTGGCAATTTTTAATATATTAGGCTAAATAAAATAGGTGAACAAAATTAATTCCACCTGTTTCATTTCACTTGGTGAATGTGATTACTAGAAAAATTAAATTGCACGTATGGCTGCATTTTTCTCCCACTGGGCAGTCCGTTTTGTTGTTGTTGTTTCTAATTGTTACCCGAGGACATGTTTATGGATCTCAGAGAGAGGGCAAGGGCCCTGGCTGGTGTGGCTCAGTGGATTGAGTGCCGGCCTGCAAACCAAAGGGTTGCTGGCTCGATTCCCCATCAGGGCACATGCCTGGGTTGTGGGCCAACCAGGGATCAAACACGCAACCCCAGGCATGTGTCCTGACTGGGAATCGAACCACAACCTCTTGGTTTATGGGATGACGTTGCAACCAAACGAGCCACACCAGCCAGGGCTGGGCAGCACTGATTTTAAGAACTGCCAGAGTACATCTAAAACTCTTATAGTGTTATCTGTCAATTACATCTCAAATTGTTCAAAAAACCAGAAATCTTAAATAATAACACTGGTAGTGTCTGGACACAGCAAAGATCGCATCAGGGGTTCGGGAATATTCGAACTTTGGGAAACACTACACAGGTCCAATCTGCCTCCTGCCCTTTTCACAGACGAAGAAACTGAGGCACAAAGAGGGGTGTGACCTGCCCAGAGGCCCAGTGAGAGCCAGAGCGCGGAGCTGGGTCGATACCCAGGCCAGCCCTCTCCCCGCCCCGCCTGCTCCACCCGCCCACCACTCACCTTGTGATCGGGGATGGTGGAGGGGGGTGTCCGGGCCTGTTTCGGGGGGGTCCGCCCTGAAAGCATGATCTTGGAGGGGTGTATGGGGGGGACCCTGACAGGAGGGGGGCCCAGCAGGGACTGCTGAGTGGCCTGAGGAAAGAACTGCTGTAGATTTGGGGTGGCCAGCTGTGGGGGTGTGAGGCTGGGGGCTGTCAGGTTCGGGGTTGCCAGGTTGTAGCTGCGAAGGTTACCTGCGGGCAAGAAGATGGGAGAAGAGGGGTTATAACGAGGGTTGGGTGATAGAAGCTAGGGTCAGGGGTCAGGCCCCCAAAGCACCATGGGAACATCACAGATAATTTCAGAAGGGACTCTTCCCACCCCAGGTCCGCCAATGGGGAGAGGTGACAGTTGGGAGCCTAGTCCCACTTTGGGCCTCGGTGGGGAGTGGCTTTGGGGCTGGTTTTCTGCTCTACCGGGCGAGGCACAGGACACTGCCTTTTCTCTCCAGATGCCTCCCTGGTCAGTGCCCCGGGGACACTGCTCACCCTCGGGCATGCTCTGGGGTGCGCCTTCCAGCATGTGAAACACCCAGCACAGGGCCCACGGGGAGAACCAGCGAGATGACTGGTCCCTGGGACAGTAAGACCCGCTCCCACCCGCTCCAGCTACCCTGGGAACCAGCTGTGGCTGACCCGCTGCCCACTTGCCTTCCCTACTTCCCACTGCCCAGCACCCGGGGGAAACTCCTTAGGGCCGGGCGCCTCATCAGACTCAGGGAACCCAGTGTTTGCAAAGTGTTTGAACCACACAAGCCAGTTCAAATTCTTGCGCCAGGGCTGGGCCGAGAAGCACAAGGGTTCAGGGTAGGGGCCAGCTGCGCTGTGAGAGCTGGCTCAAACCCAGACCCCACGGGACAAGCTCTGGACCCGAGCGGGTCAGTCCCCGCGTCTTAGGCTCGGCTCCCTCAGCTGTAACACGGGGTGACGCAGTGTTTCCCTCACAGGGTTTCACCAGGACTCAGTGAGACACACAAGGGCTCCTTGTGTATAGTCAGTGTTCTAGCAACACGAACTTATGACAACTACGCGCAGAGAGAGAACGCCAACCAGCTCTCCCAATGAGACACAAGATGGCACACTCCAAAAGAAAAATGACAAAGGACATGGACAAGTCACAAAAGGAAATACAAATGCTTCACAGACAATTACAAAATGTTAAACTGCACGAGCACTCCGAGAAAGCGAGCTGAAACATGGAGGACACAGCTTTTTCTTGCCAACTGAATTAGTAAGCTGTATGCATATACACACACATATATATATAAAAGCGCATAATACCCAATGGTGCTGTGGGCATGGTGAGACCGGTACTGTCGTACGTAGCTGGTGACATTGCAAACTGGTCCAGTCCTTTGGGAAAGCAATTCGGCAACACTTACCAAGGGCCGAGAGACAGCCCCCCGTTCCGACCCAGCCATCCTACTCTTGGAATTCCTTCTAAGAAAATAGTCTCAAACATGCTAGTCACCCCAGTGTTATTTAAAACAGAAAAACAACATAAAACTGAGAAGGTTTAGGTAAACAAGGGCCCATTCCGTCCAGTGGCACATTAAACAGCTGCTAAAGAATAATCCTTACACCTGGCTAGCGTAGCTCAGTGGATTGAGTGCGGGCTGCGAACCAGGCATCGCAGGTTCGATTCCCAATCAGGGCACATGCCTGGGTTGCAGGCCATGGCCCCCAGCAACCGCACATTGATGTTTCTCTCTCTCTCTCTTTCTCCCTCCCTTCCCTCTCTAAAAATAAAATAAAATCTTTAAAAAAAGTGCAACCTCTGTTTAAAAAATAAGAAAGAATAATCCTTACAGAGACTGTCACATTATACGATAAATGATCATGTCCTTCTATTCAGTGAAAAAGGAATAAGATACAGCCTTTCACTGACACCAAGAACCACAGTCAAATACAAACCCCCAAGCTGGTGGCCAGAAAAAAACGGGACGCGATACCCCGGAGCCTCGGCAGGTGTGTCTTTTCTTCAGGAGGTGAGTGAATCTATATGCGATTGTGTCGGGGTTTTTCATCCTCTTTCTAAAATACTCTGCTCATCTGTCTTTGAAGAGTGTAACTTTTAAAATGGGGAAAAAAGGGGGCGGGAATATGTATGTATAGATTGGGGGGGAGGGTCCCTGTGTGTGATTTGATCTCTCCGTCCATCTATCTGCCATTTATTTTATTGTTGTTGATTTTTCATGGAATTTGTTGGGGTGACACTGGTTAATGAAAGCACACAGGTTTCAGGTGCACAACGTTATCTGTCATTTCTAAGTCAGCTCCCAGGGCCATTCCCGGCCACGCGGCCCTGGCAGGGCGGAAGGGCGCCAACTGTCCCATCCGTGGTAAGATCTGGGCTCTGACTCTCCCCCTAATCAACGCCTACTTGCTGTGCGACCTTGGGCACGGGACCCCTCTCTGGGCCTCAGTTTCTTCATCTGTGAAATGGGATCATGAGTGTACCTTCCTTTAGGGTTGTCAGCAGAGTCAAGGACTTGGGTTTGGGAAGGCCTCAGCCCAGTGCCCAGCCCAGCAAGTCCCCCTATCCTGTGGGAGGGGCTGGGTCCGAGCAGGAGCTGGCCCTGGGCCCTGGACCCCTGGATGACTCCCGCAGGAGCTGGGGGATCTTGGAAAGTATCAGGAGCAGCATCTTGGAAGGAAGAGCTGAGAGACTGCTCTCCACGTGGGGAAACTGAGGCAAGGGCACAGGCCTAAAGCAGAGGGCGAGAGACATCCCCTCAGAGATTCAGGGGGCCAGGAGGCCCAGGCTTTGGTCTAGCTGAGACACTGCTGGTGCTGTGTGACCAAGGGCGAATGACTTTCCTTCTCTGGACCTCAGCTTCCTCATCTGCCCAATGGGATGGGGAGGAGGACGGTTAAAACAGATCTCTCCATCCAGTGCCTCATCGAATCTGAATGTCACTGCAGTGGACCGAGTGTTGTGCACTGAGCCAGCACCATGGCCAAGGGCACACGTCTGGGATCAGATAGACCTGCAGCCCGCTGAGCAACTTAGGGACTTGCACCTCCTGAGGCCTCGGTGTCCTCCCCGGTAAACTAGGACGCTGACAGTGGCTCCCTCTCAGGGTTACTGTGTGGATCTGCTGAGATCCCATGTGCCGGGGCTGCTGGGAAGCTGCCTCAAAGACGGAATGAGAAGGGCCTGTGGCCATACCTTGCAACTGCTGCAGAAGCAAAGCCCTCTGAAGCACACAGCCATTGAGGAGGGAGGCTGAGTTGGCGGCACCCTGGAGATTCAGAAGCTGCTGCTGTGGCTGCTGCTGGGGGAGCCCCCTGTGTGTTGAGAGAGGTCGTCAGAGGGTTACTGGGAGAGTCAGACCCGCCCTCTTTCTTGAGACCCCTCACTTCCATTCTCTGCCCCCCTTGGGGCATGCCCCTGGGAGTAAGGGCTGGGAAGGGGGGTCTCCAAGGCATGGACCTGAGTGGCAGGGCTGGAACCGGCCAACCCCACCCATGAAGGGGTGCAGGGAACTCACCTGCTGATGGCCACGGGCAGCGAGGCCTGCGGCGGGGACTGCTGGAGCAGCTGCTGGAGCTGCAGCAGCTGCTGCTGCTGTTGCAGGTGCTGTTGGAGCTGCTGCTGCTGGAGCTGGTTGAACATGGTGGCTGGGAAGGAAGGGGAGTGAGGCTGGGCTCCCCACCACGGGACCAGCCACTGGCCTGGTCCCGTGGTCGGTTTCCCACCCCAACCCTCGGGCCTCAAATACTGCTAGCTGAGCTTTACGCCCCCCATCCTACCCAGAGCATGCCACATTTCCTCCCCAGCCCATCATTACGCCCCCAAGTCTGACAGCAGCAAGAGAGGTCAACCACCTTCCGCCAATTCCTTCAAATCCCTCCGACCGTCCCGCCTTTTAAGGCCCAACCAACCCCGCCCTCCGCCTCTCCAACTCTCTGGCTCCACCCTGCCAAGGGGAGCATTCGACCCCAATCCACTTCCCCCTGCAGCCTTTCTCTGCGCGACCACTCACGCATTCCAGCCCTCCCCACTCACAGCCCCCTTTGATACCCCCACCCTCTCCCCTGTGCTTATTTGCTGTCAAGAACAGCAGCACCCCCACCCCAGTCGTCAGCCTTCCCCTCTCCTCTGTGAACACAGTAGAAGCGAGGCTCCCCGCTCGGCCCCGCCCCCCACCCCACCCCACCCCACCCGGCCATTCAGCCAACCCTTCCTGGGCAGATACAGCAGTGCTGCACATCACCTCCAGCAACCCCACTGCCCGCGAAGCCCTCAGCCTCCATTCTAGCGTCCCCTAAGCCTTCCGTCCCCGCAGGCGTCCTCGGCCCGCGCGCCTCGCCTCTCAGCGCGGCTTCGGCCGCTGGAACTGCACAGCCTCCTCCCCGCACACCTTCCGCCGTCGCGTCACCCCCGGGGGCCGAGCAGGCCGCGCGCGAGCCGGGCTGCTCCGGCTCCGCGCTCCGGGACTCCGGGAATCCGGGGATCCCGGGCTCCTGAGGCTTCACCTGGGCCTGTCTGCTCAGCAGGTCGGCCTGCAGGCCGGGCAGGCCAGCGCCCTCTGGAGGACGGGAGGTTCCGGTGCTGCAGACCGCGCGGCGAGATCCATCACCGCGCACACGTCACGCTGCGGGGGCGGTGCCCGCTCACCTGGCGCCGCGGCGCCTGCGGGCGCGACTCCGGGCTGCGAGGGTGCCCTTGGCAGAGCAGACCCTCCGACCCCGGTCCTCTGCATCAGGAATGGGCGGCTCTGAGCTCAAGATCCGTCTGTCGCCGGGAGGGATCTGTCGCCTGGGAAGGACATCACGGGAGACTTCGAGGAGGATCGTCCCCAACCGACCTCCCCGCGGCCACCACTGTCCCGCGATACGGAGGGCTCGCGTGGGGCTGAGGTGGGAGGGGGCGTGCAGTCAGTCGACCGCTGGACACTCGGGAACCGAGACCCGGCGAGGCGGCGACCCGCACAACCTGGCAAAAGAATGTGCCCCAGAAAAAAGTGGGGAGGTCCATTTCAAAGTGTTTTGTTGCTGACTTGACTCAGCAGCGGGTGAAGAGGCCTGAGTTGAATGATAAAAAGCGATATTCATCCGGACTCTGAACCGGTCCTGCTTGGAAATTCCGTTTAATTATGACTCTATCCTGCATCCCGAACCCCTCTCCTCCGATCCTACACGGAGTCGCTGAGCCAAACAGTCCGTGGTCACCAAATAGCAATCCCTGTTCCCGTTGCTGTTGCTCAGAGGCGTCTGTAACTGTGAACATCTCTGGGCAATTCTCTCCCTTTACAATAAGCGCCCGCTGTGTGCTGGCGGGGCGCACGGTGGCGCTAGGGACGCGCAGACCCGAGGCCGACCCGGCGCATTCAAACCGCGGAGATTCCCGCGTCAGGCCATCTGCAGTCATGTGACAGGTGCTGCCCTAAGGATCAGGACCCGCTCTGCTGCAACCCCGCGGGGTTGGGGGGACGTTAGGGGCGGAGGCAGCACAGGTGCCTAATTCCGCCTGGATTTAGAGGCGCGAAAGTGGCTCTGTGTGGCCCGAGCGCCGGACAATCCAGGGTCAGGGGAAGGTCACGCCTTTGGGTGAAAGGGCAACCTTGGATAATGGTGGCTTTGAAGGTTGGCCTGAGGAGTTGGGCTTTATCTGTGAAGGGCATCCCCTACTCCCCGATTATAAAACTCATTTGGGTGAGAACCAAGACAGGCAGTGAGCAGGGAAAGGAGAACCGAGTCAAGATCCCCTAGGCTTCCGCCCAGGTCCAAGCTTGCATCTGGGTGCTAGCAGTGAAGTCTGGGCTTGAATTGGGGCTCCACCGCCTTCTGCCTAGGCGACCCTGGCCGGTTGGGGGTGTCCTCTCTGAGCCCCTTTTTTCATGTATAAAATGGATGTCCTCACACAGGGGGTGTGAGGGTGGTATTACATAATGTTTAGCACTGGCACCTGTCATCAATGAACCTAGCACATTGGCAGTTTAAAAAAAAAAACAAAACTAAAAATAATGTTCATGCTGGCCGAGGTAGGGAAGGCAATGCTGGCTAGCTCTGTTTCCTGATTTCTGGACAGCAATTGGCAAATTCTCCCCCTTGACTTGGTAACCACACTTGTAGGAATCTAGCTCAAGAAAATAATAGAAAGGGGAGTTTTAAAAGCCAGCAGGTGATTTAGAAAAACATAATAGCTGTCTGGAAAATAATCAACTTTGAGGAAATGCCTAAATAAATCATGGCAGCTGCTTCTAAAGAATGGCACACAGCCACAGACGCTGTGTTTCCAAAGGACATTAAAACACTCACAGTGCGATACGAAGTGAACTCAGCAGCTTACAAAGCTGCGTGTACATGATGATCCTGGGTTCGGAAAGAGTAAATAGATGTGTGTAGTGGGCTCGTGGGGTGGGGGGGGTCACTTTCTTTTTTTCCCTAATATGATCGGTTTGAATGACTTTCTCGTGGAGAGGGAGTGAACATTTTGTAAAACATTGACCTTGGTTCCCTCCTTGAAGACCGGACAAGACAGTGGATAGGAACAATCTGAGGACATGGCCGGGGACTAGACTCGCGTCAATTACTTTTTAATCCATCGCTGGCAGGCAAAGTCCCCCACGGAACATTTTGGGGGAAGAAGAGGGGCCCCATCTCTGCACATGCCAGGTGAAGTCGGAGGCTGCAGCCTCAGTCGGAAACCTCTGCCCTGCCTCTCACTTGAGGTGCATCGTTATCAGGAAGTAAACTCTTATGCTTATGGGGATCTACGTCCACACCTATTGTGCTTCAGCACCTACCCGTGTCTTCCCAGGGCGATGTCACATTGTGTGACGATTATAGTTCTGGGATATATTTTAATGCCTGACGACAGAAGCTCCTGACATTATGCTCTATAAAAAATGTCTGGCCAACTCCCATTCTTGTAAATTTTTTTCAGGTAAATTACAGAATAATTGTGTCAAGTCTTCTCCCCCCCCCATCAAAATCCCATCAGAACTTCTTCTGGTGTTCCATGAAATGTGTTTAAATTGGAGAGGAACTGACATGCTTACCCTGAGTTTTTTAGTTTAAGGACGAGGTGAATGAATGTCTCCATTTCCTCTAGCCTTGCATTACTTCAGGGTTTTGCAGGTTTCTTGATCTAGCACCTAGACAGATGGTGGCGACTGTCACTATTTTCCTACTTTCCAACCAGCTGTTGATCATGGTGTCTTTACCTTGTAGCCAGCCACCTCCTTACCTGGCATTATATCTGCCCTCAGTAATGTCATGGGCCCCTGGATGGCAGAAAGCAGCTGCTGAGTTGCCCCCATGTCCTTGAAACCCAGCTCAGAGCTCTTCCTGTCACCACCACCTGGGGTCACCTGGGGTGGCACCTGGGGAAGGTCAAGTAAATGAATGAGTGGTGGAATGAGTGACTGACCCTGAGATGCAGCATCCTCCCTCCATCCTCGGGCTGGTGTTGCCCTAGCAGCTCCCTCCTCCTCGACATCTGTGCCCACCACTGCACAGCCCCTTCGAGGCCACCAGCATGGCACGCCGACACAGGCAGCAGAGCAAGCCCACAACCAGACACCTAGCTCGGAAACCCCGGGAACAGGCTGTGCTCCGTGACAGCCGCAGGAAAGACGAGAGGCAGAGAAAAATATCAGACCATATGCTTACCATGTGGCCTCGCCAGTAGCTGCCGCCCACTGTGCCTTTACCTGTAACTAAACGTGGGAAGGAGACAGAGAACAGAGGTGGGGCGTGGCGGGGTGGGCGTTGCTGCTGCCCCTGCCTTCCGCAGTGACCTGGGGCAGGGCCGCTCCCGGCCTAGGGCCTCAGTGTGGCCACCCTCTAACCACGGCTGACCTGTGGGTAGGCAGCAGGCTCTCCCTCCTCCCTTCCCCCTACCGGGCCCAGCCACGGTGGCTGCCTTCTGTCCCCAGAGGAACCAAGCTTCCCCCACAATGCTCTCCCTCGCCAGGCCACTTCCGGTCCCGTCTTCCCAGCTCATTTCAAACACCAGGAGGCCTTCCCTGGCTGCTGGACATGTCCTCCAAGCCCTCTGTCCACGGCGGGAGCTGGGCAACCTGGGGCTCCCCGGGGCCTGGAATTCCCGCAAGCTCAGCCAGCCAGGGACTGCGCCGGCCCCCCGTGCAAGCCTCCAGACCCCGCTCTGTGTCTTCCACAAATCCCTGTGTGTGTGTGCGACCCTTTGTCCTTCCCATCGAGAGGTGACACCCTCTGCTGCTTTCACACAGCTGCAGTTTCTTCAGACAGCACCATGGCGATAATGATTATAATCACATCACAGCTCTAATTGTTCACGGTTCCGGGCACTAGTCTCCTGTTTCACCTAAATTACTACTACACTACTGAACCCTCCCGCACAGCCTATGGTTGTGAGTTCAGTGATATTATTAGCCCCTTTTTACACGTGGAGAAACTGTGGGTCAGGAATGTGACTTGCCCAGGGTTATTCGTTTAGAAAGTGGCAGAGGTGGGATTTGAACACCAGGCAGGCCAGCTTCTGTGCTACGCTCTTGACCCACATGCACCTAACCATCAGCACACAAGGGCGCCTGCCTTGCTCTGGGCCCATGGGGAGCTGCGCACTGTCAGACAGGGCAGTGCAAGCACAGAGGCCTGGACAGCCGGGGACCAGCGGCCCCGGGAAATCCTGGTGCTCAGCCTGCAGCCGTGCAGAGGAGGGCACTGGGTGTGCCCAGCCCGGCGTGGCCACTTCCTCAGCAGTGACCTTGCCCCAGACCAGGACAAGTGTTCTTGTTCTCTGCTTAGCCCGTCTTTCCCCCGTGAATCCACATTCTAGCAGGACATGTCCCACATCCTATTAACCTCTCCATCCCCCTATGTCTTGCTCGAGGTCCAGCAGGAAGTAGCTAGCCACGGATCGGTACCTGTTGAAGAATAAAGGATCGAACGAATCCAAGGGGCCCAGACCCTCATCAGGCTTCCTGACTAAAGATAATGGCTTCACCCAGGAGCTGTACAATAAGGCTGCTGTTTCATTCAATACAACCAGTATGTATTGAGCACCTACTGTATGCACAACAGAAACCCTATCAGAAGGGCCAGTGTGTGTGTGTGTGTTTAAGGTTTTATTTATTATTTTTAGAAAGAGAAGAAGGGAAGGAGAAAGAGAGGGAGAGAAATATCAATGTGTGGTTGCCTTTCACGCACCCCCCCCCCCGGAACTGGCCCACAACCCAGGCATGTGCCCTGACTGGGAATCAAACCAGCGACCCTTTGCTTCGCAGCCCGTGCTCGATCCACTGAGCTACACCAGCCAGCGCGGGCTGGTGTTTTACTTGCATTAAATACACACAGGTTACAAGATGCTGGTGTCATGCAGGACAGAAAGGTGGAAGCCGGACTCTTCCCCACTCCGTTCACATCTTCACCGCATCGCTTCCTGGCTTTGTGACTGTAGACTCTTCCTCGTTAGCCTCGTTGTGCCTCAGTTTCCTCATCTACCAAAAGAAGCGAATTCACAGCTTCTCCCTCCTGTGGGCAGAATCTCTCAGCACAGTCACCTGGCAGGGAGGAGATGCCCAGCGAATTTCCTGTTGTTAATCTGCCCAGCACAGTTGGTGGCTCATGGTGCAGCAGCAGCTCCAGAGAGAATGCTCCCTCTCGGGCGCCCAAAGTAGGCAGTCAACGCCATTTTTAAGATTCTCAGCTAATTCATTGGCCCTCGGGCCCCCGGCTCCTCAGTGCCTGGAGAGAACCATCTGCAATCCTTTGGCCCTCACCAAAATTTCCCAGGGTAGATTTCAGGGTCACTTTCTTTCTGATTCCAGACCTTTGCTTATGCTGGAATCAACCTACTCTAAAGCCCACAGTGGCATTTCATTCGTCCATTCTTCAAGTTCAACCCAACCATTCTGAGCAGACGAGGGAACAAGGAACAGGGCACTGCAGACCGTGGGGAACTACGCAGCCGAGAACAAGGAACTTGACCGTTCTATCGGTTCTTACACTGAGAGACACCTGAGACATACTAGTACTAAAAAGTTGCACGTAGTAAGATATACCAGGGCTTCTCTGCTGACTTTGATGCACACAGGAATCTTCTGGGCACGAGGTTCTTATTAAATTCAAGCGTGGTCCTGCAGGCCATGGGAGGGGCCTGAGATGCTGCACTTCTGTGCAGGTGACGCCCAGGCCGCCGGTCCGGCACTGGCGATGCGGCAGTACAGGGGATACCGTATGATTCCACTTCTGTAAAAACAACACGAAACAAAACGAATGTCTGTGGAAAAGCCAGAGCATAAACGCTAAGCTGTACCTAGCGGTTATGTGTGGATGGGAGGATGACCAGAAGCTTTCAAGTGTTGTGTAGAGTCTGATTTTTACAACAAGTTTCACCATCCTAATTAGGAAGACTGACCCAGCCATGACGGCAGCCTCGGGGCGGACGTGTGCAAACCGCACCCCTCCCTGAATGAATGGCTCCACTCCAGGCCTCACCTCTGCTCTCCCTGGTGCTCAGAGCATAATCACGGGCTGGCTTGGAGCTCCGGGTGTGCGTCGTGTGTCGCTGACACTCCAGCTGTGGGGAGGGCTGTCACCTTTGGCACCCTCGAAGCTGAGGTTCAGTGAGAGTCTCCTGAGCGCCAGGCCAGGGCCGTGCCCTCCACAGACCGATCATCATCCCCATTACCCAGGTTAGACAACTGAGGCTTAGCGATGTGGAAGGACCTGGATCCCACAGCTTGTCTAAGGCCCAGGCCAGTCTCCTGGGATAGCGCCTGCCTAGTCCCCTCTGCCTGCCTGGAAAATTCCTCCTCTGCATGTCCCCATGTGTCACTGTCACTTCTTTCAGGTCTCTGCTCAGAGGTTTTCCGTACCAGAGCCCTCCTCCGACCACTGCGATCGCAGGAGAGCAACACTCCCCCTGCTCCCAACCTCACCCGGCGTTCTGGCTTCCCAAGGCTGTCATCACCATGTGACAAAGTCACGTTTAAGCTTATTTGTGCTTTGTTTCTCTTTTTCCACTAGGCAGGAAGGCGGGCCCACGTGGGTAAGGACTTCCTGTCCATTTTGTTCACTGCTCTATCTCCGGGGTCCTGGCTCAGTAAATATGTATTAAATGGGTGAATCAATGACAGTTTCTGATTCACAGGCCACTGCTCTCCAGCCATTGTCTCCCCCCACCCTGTTTATGCACAGAAAATGACCCACTGACCCCCAACAGCACAGGAGACGCTGGCCTCCCTTTCCTAGCCTCCTTGGAGGGGGCCCACATTGGGCTCCTTAAACGCAGAGGAGGACAGCCAGGCGTGGGGCTCTGTGGGCTCTCTGTGCGGACGGGATCGTCGGCAGGGTACGGTGGTAGGAGTCCCGGATTGGAATGCCGCCGCTTTACCACCGCGCTGATGGGCTGGGGCTAAGACCACTTACTACTTTCTAGGACGGAAAGTCCCAACTCTTCCAAGAACGGCCTTCTAAGTGTCAGAGCCTCTGCACTTGCCCTTCATTCGGCCCGGCACGCTCTCCCCCCTGATGAGCCCAGGACTGGTTTCTTCTCGTCATCGCGATCTCTTCTCAAAAGCCGCCTCCTCGGGACCGCCCCCCACCCTAACTCCTCCCAGGCTAATGTGGACTTTTTTTTGTACCCACACAAGTACCTCTTTTCACACCCTCTGTTTATTTCCTCCATGGCTCTTAATATAAACTTTTCACCTTTACTATTTCATTTATCTGTTTGGTAGTTACTGCCTGTATCTGCCACCCGGATGTAAGGTCCGTGAGGATGGAGAGACCTCATCTGTCTTGCTCACAGTTGTAGCTCCAGTACCGAGGACTGGCCCTGGTTCCGGGAGGTGCTCAAAAGACTGTGGCCTTGGACAAGGCCCATGGACTCTCCGAGCCTCAGTTTCCCTATCTGCAAGATGGCGTTGAAGCAGCCATAACCACTGTCCGAGAGTCCCGGTACTAAGCGTGAGAGCCTCACTCATTCCCAGAAATTATATCTTTGGTGCAGCATCTGCGCCCCGCAGACACTGCTGAAGCTCCCCGAAACCCGCAGAAGGAAAAAACTACAATCCCCATGGTGCCGCTGACGGCGCGTGCGCACGGAGGCAGTCCTGCAGCGCCGCGGACGCCCTCTGGCGGCTGACCGCTGCAGTGCTCCGCTCCGATCCCGGAGGGGCGGGGGGGCCCGCGGCGCAGGCAGTCGAAGCGCGCGGCTGCAGCGGCGGAGCCTGAGCCCGGAGCCGGAGCCGCGGCCGGATCGCAGCCCGCGGGGCCCGCCGCAGCCATGGGCAACCGCGGAATGGAAGATCTCATCCCGCTGGTCAACCGGCTGCAGGACGCCTTCTCCGCCATCGGCCAGAACGCTGACCTCGACCTGCCTCAGATAGCCGTGGTGGGCGGCCAGAGCGCGGGCAAGAGCTCGGTGCTGGAGAATTTCGTAGGCAGGTAGGAGCAGCGCGCCCGGGAGCGCGGACTTCCCCGCCTCAGTCCCCTGGGCTTCTGCCCCCGGCCCCGACGGCGCTGCGACCTCGCAGCCCCTAGCGCTGCACCCGCGGACCGCGGCCCCCTACTCCGCCTCCAGCCAGAGGAAGGCGGCCCTCCTCCTTCATGAGAGCCCCTCAGGGGCGCAGCGTCCCCAGTTTGTCCGAAAACGGCGTCAGGCCACCGGCCACGGTATCACGCCCCCCTCCTCCACCCACCCCATCCTTTAGGGAAGGCAGAGACCCTTGCACGGGGTTGTTACCTCCCACCCCCCACATGGGCACCGAGGGGCCTGCATTACTCAGCGCCTGTCTTCGACTCGGGAATCCCTTGCAGGGACAGCACCCCCGGGGCAGTGCTCTACGGAGGACACCCCGAGGCTCTACGGAGGACAGCTCCCTCCCGCCATGGGAATTCCTGGACGGCGGCAGGGGACACCCCCCACAGCCCCAGGGAGAGGACAGAGCCCGTGGGCCTCGAGGACCAGGCGCAGCCTCCCTCCCTCACACACACACCTCTGCGGCTCCGCCGCCATCCGTGCGCAGCGCGGCGGTTAGGGGGAGGCGCAGGCAGCAGGATGAGGAAGGGAAGGGGGGTGGGGGAGCGCCGCTTCTGAGCCTTTTCTGACGAGCCGGCCCTTTGCTCCGCCGCCGCCCCTGGGCGGAGGGCGCCTGTCAATGTCGTTCTCCCCTTGGCCTGGCAGAGGGATCGTAATGGAGGGAGAAGGCTGCGGAGGGCAGGGATGACTAAGACGGGGAGGCAGGATGGCGGGGAGGGGGGAGCCATTTGCAGAACCTAATCCCCCTCCTGCTTCTGATCCCACAAGGCGCTGGGAGGGCCAGGTGGCAGGGAGTGGGGAGCAACCGCCAAGACAAAAAGGGTCTGGGGGTTTGGGGGACAGCAGGGTCGTGACCCCCGTGCTCCTCCAAGAAAAGGGAGGCAGAGATGGCTTAGGGGGTGCTGAGGAGAGAGAGAGAGGATGACGTTCTCCCAGTGCCGGAGAGCCGGATGGGGGCTGGGCAGCCCGAGGGAGGGGCAGGTTGGCATTGACCTCCCTCCGCACTCTTGTCTCCCTCCCTCACCTCTAGAAACCCTAGCTTCTTTGCAATGACCTTCAGGGCCGAGGAAGAGACTGGCATGTGGGAGAGGGAGGCAGAGGCCCCTCCCTGTGAGGGGCAGCAGTTCTGGGGAGAGACATCCTGGGGCCAAGCCAGGTTCCGCTGTGAAGCCTCAGGCCACTCACTTACCCTCTCTGAGCCTCAGTTTCCCATCTCTAAAATGGACAGTTGGACTGGATGGCTGTTTCTGCCTCTTTAATGACCTGGGAAGCCCAATGCCAACCGTGGGAGAGAGTGGGCGGGAGAGAAGGGTCCTGCCTGGAGCAGTGTGTCCGTAGGATGTTGGAAAGCCACGGTGGGGGCGGCCGGCCCATCTGGTCAGCAGAGGGGAGGCCGTCTGTCTCTTGGGGATCGGCTTCCAGAGAGCCCTCCTCCTGCTCACGTGACCCCCAACGCTGCAGAGACACAGGCACGAGACACCCAGATGGGCCCCTTCCCCATGGCCCAGCAGGCAGAGGGAGGGGGTGAGGGGAACCCTGGACATGCGACAAAGCCCCGAGGCCTTGGTTCCCGAAATGGCATCCATGGACGCCCAGCATCCCGCAGCGCACAGACCTCACCCCTGCCTCTCACTCATCCAGTGTCTGCTGAGCGCCTGCCCCGTGCCGGGCTGCGCGCTCTGGGCAGGGGGTTTGCAGAGGAAGGCCACCTCAGCTTCCGTCTGCTAAGCCCTTCCCACGTGCCCACAACAGCCCCCCGAGGCAGGTACCATGGTGTCCACCCTGCGGTGGAAGAAACAGAGACGCTGAGGTTAGGCGCCTTGCCCAAGGTCGCGCAGCCAGGAAAGCCTACAGAGCCTAGGTTCCTCGTGTGGACATGCGCAGCCTCTGAGAGCCAAGCCCCGTGCTGAGCCCCAAACCACCCTGGGGGGTGGACGTGCAGGTGTGCGGGCCTCTGTGTCCCCGTCTGCAGGATGGGGACAACGCCCACAGCTGCTGCCCTACCTTCCTGAGACAGGGGCCGGGGGGGCTTCAGTGAGTTCATGGGGGTAAAAGCCCTTCTGTGGAACACAGGGAGGGAGGAGCTGGTCATCAGTGAGGTCTGGGGGCCCGTGTGTTGGGGAAGACCCAACCGCTGCCCTCGCGGAGTTCACTGCCCAGCAGAAGGAGGTGCCAGCCTTTGGCAGCACAGCAGGCCGGCCCGGCTGCAGCTCTCTGCTTGTGGAGTGCTGGGCCCTCTGGCTGCCCTCAGCGCCCCAGTGCCCCCTGCTGCTGGCCCTGCAGGAGGACACGCCAGGTGTTCAGATGCAGGCCCAGGGTCGAGCAGGTGGAGAACCGAGGTGCGGTGGAGCCCCAGCTGGCCCTGCCTGCTCCCTCGTGGGCTCCTTTACCTCTCCATCTAGGGCTGGGTCCCCAGGCCCATCTGCATGGTAACAGCAGCTCTGCCTGCTGGGGCTTCCCAGGGGCCACCCTCCCCCCCAGGGAGGGGGAGTGGAAGATGCATCAGAGGAAGCAGAGGCTCCCGGGCACCTGGGAGGACCCTGTCGTCCGCTCTGTAACGGGCTGGCCCAGTAGCCGCCCGGGACCCTGCTAGGACGTGTCTGGGTCCATGCTATTTCTTCACCCCCTTTGCACGGAAGGGAACGCCGAGGCTGACGCGTCCGGTCACTCAGCTGACGTTCATGGCGGGGCCAGCACGTGTCTGTGCTGGGGGTTCTATGGGAGAAAAGACAAAGGCTCTGCGTCCCAGAGAGGAGACTGAAACCGTGAACTCGGGAGCACGTGCGTGAGGCACGCCGGAGAATGCGGTCGAGGCTCGGGAGGGGAGAAGGGCCGCTGTCTGCAGGGAGGTCAGGGGAGGGGACAGCAGCATCTGAGACGAGAACTGAGAGATGAGAGGCCACGTGACTAGCCCAGGAGACACGCGCTGTGCCTCGGGGACAGCCGTGCAAAGGCTCCGGGGCCAGTAACACACTCCGTGCGTCTGAAGAACAGAGAGGAGCCGCCGTGGCTGGTGTTTGGTGAGCAGGGAGGACTCGGCGGCGTCGGGGAGGCAGGCGGGGCCTGGTCTCCGAGGCCCTTGCACGGCGGTGAGGCGTCGGGCTTGTGTTCATTATTACCAGGAGATCTTCAGTAGTGGTGTGACTTGGGGAGGGGCAAGAGGGGGGCAGGAGACAGAGGAGGAGGCCGCTGCGGTGGGCAAGGGGGGTGGGGCGCAGGCCCCGGACCAGAGTTCAGCAGTGGAGAGGAGAAGGGTGGGCTTCGGGACCCCTTCTGAGGACGGTCCCACCGGACTGGCCCGCGGATGGGATGTGGAGGGCGAGGAAAGGGACCGAGGACGACCCCGGCGCCGCCGACCCTGGCTGGGTGTGGGCGCCATCCCCGGAGTACGGAGTACAGGGGCAGGTCTGGGGGGCTGGGGCGGGGAAGGCTGGGGGTTTGTCTGTGAGCGTGTGGAGTGTGAGGCGTGGGGTGGGGTGGGCAGCGTGAGAACGCACGTCGAGCGCCCAGGGGACGGCGGGCTGGGAGTATAAATCTGGAAGCCGTTCCCGTGGAGTAGATGACATCATCCCAGGATGTGTGCAGACAGAGGGGTGTGGGTGGGCCCCCGACACCCCGGTGTTCCACGACGAACAGACGCCTGGGGCCCCAGGCTCCGCTTTGTGGGACCCCAGCTGCCTATCCGCTCCCCACCGTGCCCCTCCAGAGCCAAGAGCGGGGTGTCCTGGGATGGGCTTCCAGGCTCCGGTGCCCCGGCTGCTCTCACCCTGGTCCCCAGGCAGGTGGGGGTGTGGCGGGGGGGCTGAGAGCTCTGGCTGCAGAATCAGGCCGGGATGTGTGGCCCAGCGCTGCCACTTCAGGCCTGCTCAGCTGGTTCCTCATCTGTAAAATGGGGATGGTAAGAGCTCCTCCCTCGTGGGGTCCTGGGGAGTGTTTGGATAAGGCCCACTGAGAGCCCCGGAGGAGGCCTGGCACGGGGGAGGCGCCTGCGCTGTCCCCGCCTGCGCACAGGTGCTGGCTGCGAGGTGCGGCCAGAGCGGGGATCTTCTCCACCCGGGGTGTGGCAGCCTGGGAGGCCAGGTTTGGGGTTTCCTAGCGTCTTTGCTTAACCCTGCTCAGACTCCCTGCCTCCTACCAACCCCCCCGCCCCTCCCTCCACACCTTCTTCCCAGCACAGACCGGCACTGGTCTCTGGCCTCTGAGAGCCCCTCTGGGTTGGCCCCAGCCCTTCCCATGGGGGGGCAGCTCATCCCCACTACTAAGCTCTGTCCTTCCCCCGGAACATTTTGAAACACCTTCGTCGTCCCATTTCTCAGATGCAAACACTGAGGCCAGAGAGAGGTCGGGGGATAACTGAAACACTGGGTAGGCAGTCACCGACCAGAGGGGGCAGTGGCCACTGACATCTCCCTGTCACTCACAGCACGGCAGGCCCCGAGGACACAGCTCTGCACGAGCCGGACCCGTCCCTGCTCTCGGGGGGCTCACAGCGAAGCAGGACAGACAGACAGACGCTAAATCACACCAAGGGCTCTGCTGAGTGTTTGAAGAACGGCGGGAGGAGCCTGGTGTTGAAGGGAGGGGGTCGTCAGGGGTCCAGAGAAGGCATCTGAGCATAGGCGTCCGGCCCCCAGCAGAAAAGAGGACTTGGCCAGGCAACGGAGCCTCCGCACTCCGGGCACAGGTCGCAGCTGAGCAAGGGCCCAAGGAGCAGAGAGCGAAGTGGGACCAGGAAGGTCGGGGAGGTGCTAGTGGCCGTGCGGGACAGCCTACATGCTCAGAGCATGCCCCTGCCATATTCTGAGCCAAGCCTACGGCTAGACTCGCGGGCCCAGCCTCGGCCAAGGCGCATCTTCCCCAAACCCCCGCCCGCTGCAGCGGAGCTGGACCTGAAAGGTGACTCTGGCCGACGGCAGATCAGCTTCTGCATCTGATCCTGGCGCCAGGAGAACTCGCAGGCCTTGGCTGGGGTCAGAGGGTCAGAGCCCCAGGGGATGGGATGCGGGGGGAGCTGATACAGAGGGATGGAGCGGGAGCCAGGGGCGGAGGAAGCCAGCCACAGGCAGTGCCCCCAGGCGTGGAACACGCACAGAAACAGAGGTGCACCTGCCACATGTCTGGATGTTCCAGTTATAAATCAAGCGAAGGAACTGTTAAGCGCAATACATTCTACAATCTTGACAAATACATCTTCGTAACAACTTGGCAGGCTGGTCTGGAATTTTTAAAAAAGATTTTATTTATGTATTTTTAGAGAGGGGAAGGGAGGGAGAAAGAGAGGAACAGAAACATCAGTGTGTGGTTGCCTCTCATGTGCCCCCAACTGGGGAGCTGGCCCGCGCAACCCAGGCGTGTGCCCTGATGGGGAATCGAACTGACAACCCTTCGGTTCCCAGTCTGGCGCTCAATCCCCTGAATCACACCAGCCAGGGCAGAATGTGTTTTAACAGATCAGTTGTTTTTTTTTTTTCTTTTAAAGATTTTATTTATTTATTTTTAGAGAGGGAAGGGAGGGAGAAAGAGAGAGAGAGACATCAATGTGCGGTTGCT